GTTCCTCTCTCACCTCCTCGGGTACCTGTAGTAATATAACAATTCTGTAAGCTTGCCGACATGCCATTAGTACGTAATAGTTGAATTATCAACAACAAAAAGTGAAGCATGTTAGTCCGCAGTAATGATAGCAGACTTTTTTCATAGACAAAACCCACCATTACCTTCTTGTTCTGTTTAGCCCTTTTCGATTGCTCTTTGAGGTGTGACACGTAATCCTCAAATGTCTGCTTACGGAAACTTTCGTCTCCTATCGTACTGCATATAAAGAAGCAATAAATAATATTAGATGATTCAATGTTAAATATCCGGTAATGATCAAAGATAATAACCACAGTAGAGAGGGCACGATTTCCTATTCTTAAGGAGAAGGATGTGAAATACATAAAGCAAGCAGCTAAGTGTTTCTATAGAGTGGATGGTGTAACATTGACATGAGAAATCACTCTAGAAAGTAATGGTATTTCTATAGAGTGAAGAGAGGCAAATGAGAACGGAAGTTGTAACTTAGAAGACCTAAATATAGCAGAAAAGGATCCAGTCATGAATTCGACCATGAAGGGTTAGAATAAATGAAAAGCGTACCGGCATTTTTCACTGCCTTCAACAAGATGCTTCGATTCCTCCCAGGATGAGGAGGCAGTTATATCCTGCACCGATCCAAATAATCAGGGAGAAAGCTAGAGCACTACCCAAAAGCTCACCCATCACAGAACATTATGTAGGAACAGATCAAATAGATTCAAAACCTTGAAGCAGCGAAGCATATCCACCAATTTTTCAGTATAACGTGTCTGTTTTCTGGCTTCCTTCTCCTTTGCCCTTTCCAGCAAATCATCAAAAACTAACTGAGAAGTCACCAAAACAAATAGTTTGCAGTCATATCCAATGAGACATTCAAAGTTAAATAAAAGAATATGCTGGCGGTGCAGTGAGTTCAGTTGTACAGACCTTTAGTGTAACATCAGGAGTAGGTGGGAAACCGATAGCCTCGGAAATTGATACCTTGAACTCATCAAATGTTGATCCAGCGGATAACGATACCTGGAAAGAAATTGAGATAAAACACCTATAAAATCCATAAATGCTTACAGAAGGAAAATGCGTACCTTTCTCAGCTTCAATACATCCTTTATCTGAGATTTGAGCTCATGATACTGTGTAGATAATAACACGTAATATGTAACAGATGGTTAATTCAGGAATTAAGTGACAGAAAAAAGTGATAAATAATCAATAAATGGAAACAGGCTAAGCCAGTACTCCTAAACCTAGCAAAATAATGCTACTAGAATTACCTACTGATACAAATTTAAAAAGGAAAAAGTCTAGAGACAGCATATATAGCAGTTTTGCT